CAAAAGAAGCTCTGCTTTTTTAGTTTTTTAGTTCTCCACAGACCTATCTTCTGCTAACATAAGTAAACTGAAGCTGAAATATGTAACATACATTAAAAATATATACCTCTAATTAACAACAACAAAGCCTGAGTAAAGTAGATGTGGCAGACTGTAATAAATTTTAAATACTGAAAATGGGAATTCACATTATTACTTCTACTCTTCTGCAATTAAAATTTTTGTAACAAAAAATCAAATAGTAAAACCAATACACTATGTATTTTGAGAAGAAGGAGACTGGGGCATTATTGATTTTGTATTAAGTTTAGAAAGTATGTAGTACAGTATGGGAAGTGCCCAAAAGCCCCCACATGCTAAAGGTTTTTTCCACAAGGTGGCACTATAGGTTACGTCTAGTGTGGGCGTCTTAGGCAATGGGGGTATGCCCCTAGAGGGGACTGTGGGACCCTGGCTGTTCTGTTCTCTTTTGTGTCTCCTGGCTCATAACATAAGTCACGGGTAGTGTGCTCCATCTTGCATGGGGGACACTTCCTCCTCACACACTCAGAGCAACTTCCAAAACTGTAAGCCTGAGTAACTTTTCTCTAACTTGAGTCTCTCAGCTGTTTTATTATAGTGATGGAAAGCTGACTAACCCAGTGCAGATATGTTCAACATTAATTTTAATACCTTTTCTGTCTAAATTACAAATAACTAAAAAAACAAGTCATCACACATAGTCACATTCATAAAGTTAGTGATAAAAATGACAATGGATAAAAGTAAAACTTCAAATAAATACTGGACTGCTCACTTTTTCTGTCTCTGGAACACAATGCCTGACAACTGTGACTTAAAGGAGGAGAGATGGTGGAGGTTTATTTTGGATCATGGTTTTAGAAGGTTCAGAATTTGGTTGCTGGCTCCAAAGCAGAAACAGCACGGCAAAAGAACCTAGTGAGGAAAGCTATGTAATCCATGGCAGCTAACAGCAGAGAGGAGAAGAGCCCGAGCAGGAGATACGCCTTCCACAGCTGCACCCCAGCAATGCACTTCCTTCGAGCAGCCCCATCTCCTCCCAGCACCCTCGGCCATGAGCTCATCACCCTATAACCCACTGACAAGTACAGCGCCCCCATGACCATGATAGAACCATCTTCTGAAGGTCCCACCTCGGAACACATGAGACTTTTGGGGGGACACCAATATAACCCATAACAAACAGGACACATTTTACTAAATTCAAATGAAACTAAATAACTCACACGTAACTAATACAAAACTCCATGGTGTCAGATGACCCTTACCACTCTGAGCAGCCGGACTATCTTCTGGGTTGTTTCACGGATGAACCATGAGGAGTTACCAAAGAGTAGCCATGTACCAAAAGAACGGAACCATGTACCACAAGAAAGATTCAAACCATTCAACCTGACCCTGAGCAGGGCAAGTTCCAGAGAGGCTCACTCATTACTACACCCCCCAGAGATGTGGGACCATGATTTCAGCAGGCCTGTTCAGCCTGTCCAGGCACATGCTCCAGTCCAAGGCTGTATCCACCTCAAGGTGGCATGTTAGAATCCCGAGGCTGCGTCAAAGCTGCTAACTTTCACAGCCACTCTAAATGTGCGGCAGAAATTGAAGATTGTCTGAGTTTATGTATTTAGAAAAGCACTGGGGTGAGACTTATTTCTAATGGCATCAGCACAATCAGGATAAACACTGGAGTAACTGAAGAGCTAGCCTAGAAAATTCTATCATTAGAGAATACTCAGGCCAAACCCTGTGTGTTATATATAAAGTATGAGTAATCCTTCTTCAAAACGTTTAGAACTACAAGTTTGGGATTGAATTTTTGTGAATTTTAATTTTTTTTAGATTTTAGAATATTTACACACAAATAATGAGTTCTTTTGGAGATGGGATTCAAGTCTAAATATCAAATTCATTTGTCTTGTTTATACCCTATCTATGTAGACAAAATGTAATTTTACATAATATATCTGGAGCGTACCTGTGTTTTGATTTTAACCCATTATATGAGATCATACACAGATTTTAACCCATTATATGAGATCATACACATGTCAAAACGTCTCAGACTTGGAACATTCTGGATTTCAGGTTTCCAGATTAGGGAGCTTAACATGCATAATGAAGCCCAAGTGCCTCAGACTGAGGGTTCCCATTATGTATCTCATCTAATCTGGTTTGAGAGCAGAGTCCTTAAGGCAGGTCTTGTCAGAGTCCCTTGAACTCAAAGAAAGTATCACTGAGTATTTGCTCTAAGTACCTTTCCTCACCAAGTTATCGTATCCTAACAATACCCTTGTGAAGAGGCATCACTAATCCTATTTGAAGTGGAAGAAGCTGAGACTGAGCAATATGGTCAGAAGGGACTTGACCAGGGAAGACAGGATGTCACTCTGATCGGTGATGACAAGGGGTTCACAGAGGGGAATAAACTTGTTCCAGAATTTTCTGCTGGGCAGAGAGAGAGGTGGCATAGGCTCTTGCTAGCACAGTGCACCTCTCCATGCTCAACTGTGCTTTGCAGATGCATGGACTGCAATGTACATAAGCAGCAAGCACATTCATTACAGAGTGAGCTCTGGAAGGTCTAACTGAATAGCAAACACTGACTATAGTTTTCAACTGGCTACTGATGTACTTCCTCATAGCTGACATGCTCCACTCTGAGCATTTCTCCCGCAGGAATGACATGTGTACTTCAGGTTCATAGCCCTTGAAACTTCAGAGGGCTCCGTCACTGGAGGTGCAGGTCCTCTCTGCCGTATGGGTGGTGAAATGTCACAATTATTTGAGAGGTCTCTCTGGAGTACTCTTGGTGACTTACCGAGAAGCAAGTGAAATTCATATGTCCATGCATGTTGCAGACATGCCAGACATAGCTCAGGTTGCAGGGAAGTCTAACGCAGTAGCCTAAAAATCACCTGCCAGCCCCATCTGGTTTTTGATTTAAGAGAAATGTGCATGTTGTGGTGAAACAAATTTATTGCTCATGAATCGACACAGAAACTTTCTGGGGCACAGAAATGCAAAACTAGGGGACCCAGCCCTTAATTTTGGCACAGGAACTCTTACTTGTCACAATGCTATAGTGGGTTCTGAACACTCTAAATTGTAAAACATAATACATGCTGTCTGCATCTTGTATTGGTGTCTACTGATTCATCCATCCGTATGAAACTTTAACCAAGGATTTAACAGGGATCTGTGTACAATAACTGGAAGGAAGCCTCCCAGCTAGGCAGAGTAACAATATAAATGTGATCACGAGTTTCAATGAACAAACCTGCTTTAGTTTCTTTATTATAGACCTAACAGTTATTGGAAAATATATATTCAGTTGAAGGTCTAAAACCGTCTAATTCCTTTGGTAAAAGGAAAAATGTGCTGTATTTACCACATACAGCTAGACCTCTTTGGAACCTCAAAAATGTGTATGTACATTTAATTTATGTAAGGATGGTCGTATGACCGCTTTGTCATTTACTACTGGTATTCAAATTTTGGTTGGTGAGACAGTTGAAGCTGTTTTTAAAACTGAAATTTTATTTTATTTTATGGGGGGGGGTACCAGGAATCAAACTCAGGACCTCATGTTTACCAGGCAGGCTCCATGCTGCAGAGCTATATCTCTGGACCCTGAAATTTTAATACCATGTATTTATCTTATCATCCCTTACCATAACAAATGAGTTAAGGTCTCTTTTTGCTGAAAGCTTTAGAAAAGAACAACAGAAAAAGAATAGCTCAATTGGAGCTAGTCTTGGAGCTATACCATTGGAGAGCGGGAGGGGCAGGATATATCATAAAAGCTAAAAAGTTCTCTGCATTTTAAGGCTCAACTGATAGATAAAGGAAGAAGCCAGAAGATATCATGCTACTTAATAATCTCTGTCTTTCATTTTTAAATTAGCCAGGCCTCTAGGTACTTTAGAAGGCATTTATTATTGCATTCCTGCCTCTTCTTTCTTAGGTACCAGAAGGTCCATATGTAAACCCAGAACACTTGTTCATTGCCGTGGTCTGGATTTGGTTTGACCCCCTCCCCTCAAACTCATATTGAAATCTGGTTGCCAGTGAAGTGCACTGGGAGCTGAAGTGATTCCCGCCTTTTCCTCCAGACTGCAAACACTTTCACAGTAACAGGTCAGTTACTGAGAGAGCACGTCGGTGTAAGCAGTTCAGCTCCTTTTCCCTGCCTAGCTTGGCATGTGCTTGTTTCCCTCCTGCTCTCTGTACCATATAAGGCAGCTCAAGATCTCCCCTAGAAATCATCTGCATGCTGGTGACATGCTCTTCAATTTGTTTGCCAGCCTCCAGAACAGGGAGCCCAAAATGGATGTTTTTCACAATTTTTAAAAATAAATTATTGTATGTTTTTCTGTAGCAACAAAAAGTGGACTGAGATAGTCAGAATACTGATTTCTAAGGTAAATGCTTATTTTTGCTCCCAAGCACAACTTGGCTACTTAAAGTTAGAGCTCAAATGCAGTCAGATACAGGCTGCCACCAGTATCTGTCCACTGGTTAGAAGCTGGGAAGTTTACTGCTCCATGACTAATGACAGACCTGGTACCTAGATGGCCTCAGGAACTCCACACATTCACTAGGAAGAAACCAACAGTCTGCATATTCAGAGAATCCGAGTCTGCAGGGAGGACCCTAAGCCCACCTGATGCTCTTTTCTGAACCCTGAGTAGGACTCTGAGGAGCTCAAAAATGTTGTCATGTATCCTTTTCTTTCTTTTTTTACATAATTTTCTCTTTTGGAATCAAGATTATTCATCATGTTTTCCAAATTTTGTTGACACGTGAGGGTAAACTCACCCCTCTAAACACTATTGGATGCTGCAGGAGATTCCTTAACCCCTCAGCCACCAAAAATCAATCGTCATCCCAAGCCTAAACTACAACACACTTTCCAATCACTGTCACTTGTCCTCTCCTCAACCAGAAGCCCTTCGGCATTCACGTGTGCATGGCCTCACCTTTCCAAAGAAATACTGCATGGACACAGCCACAGCATCGAAGCCGCAGATGGCCCTCCTCAGTTGTCCCTGAGTGAGGCTGAGCTGCCGGGCCTGCCGCTCACATCTCTCCTTTAGCCTCTGGACCAGCTGCCGCTCGGCCTCACGAGCCTGAGGGTCAGGCTTGGGCACAAACCCATTTCGAGGGGCTGCAGTCCTCTGCTTTGGGTATCCTGGTAAGAAAAGAAAAACACACTGTCATTGGTGGAAAGACACAGGTGATAACAGCTTATTGCAACAGTACATGAAGGAACTGCCTGTGTCGTTTTAAGTATTAGAAAAGAAAAAAGTCTTAAATTATTCATTCCATTTTATGTGGTTCCAAGTACAATGCTTTACGCTTCAAAAAAAAGAATAATTCCTTGCAGCTTCTAACATTTTTTTCTAGGCCTCACTGGAGAGACTGAGGTAGGTATTTTTTCTTCCTATGTCTTATAGGCGACTACTCTTGGAAAATGTCACATGGGAAATCAGTCATAATGGAAGGCAGACTTTCATAATGCAGCAACTGAGAGCTGGGCTCTAAGGTGTAATGCCTTCATGCTCCCATCCTCCCTTTCAATGGCCACTCTAGTGACCAATTCTTCTAGTCCCAAACCGCATCACCTCTGCTCCAGGGACTTCTGGTTTTAAATTCCTGTACCAAAGTCTTGGCAGGTCCCCTCCAACATACTGACCCTGTGATTTGACATCTGAATGGCTCAAGGCCAAGCTCAAGCTACCTTCTCCTTTCACCCTGTTTCTTCTCTAAGGAGATTCTTAGAGAAGATTCTTTTTTTTTTTATTTGAAAGAGGGTAAAATTAAACACAATGAAACAGAACAAAACAGAACATCAGAAAGCAATGTTAAGAGGCATAAATTTCAAAGCAAGACAACCAGAGATCTTCACTATCATATTGTCTCTTATTTTCTTCCAAATGTGTCCATATCATCATATACAGAGAATTCATACAAAACAATAGTATAAAACTGATCTGAACAGGATGAGGCAGGCATTTTAGCTGTTCAAGAGCAGACAATAAGGAAGTCAACAATGGCTGTCATAGTGTCTCTCATTCTCTTCAAAATAGCTGTCCATACTTTCATGTGTGTTGAAATTAAACAAAACAGAATAATAGTATTGCTGGATTTCACATCATGACACTATGGGATCAGCATGGGGTACTGTAGTGTCTCTTTTTCTTCAAAGTAATTGTTCATTTCGTCATGTGTTATATAATCAGTTCTCATAAACTATTTATAGGTTCTACATATGCTTGAGTCTCTACAAGTATTTCTATCCTTTTGGTATTAGAGGGAAAAACAAAACAAAGCAAGACAAAACAAAACAAGTTCCTATAAAAACATGAAATGAAAAAGTCATAAAACCACAGTACAAGGTGATCCGAGGGGGTTACTGTGTTGTCCCTTGTTATCTTCAATAGAATTGTCTATATCATCATGCATAGTATAATTGAATATAGCAGTACATAACAATAAAAACAAAACATTATATACAGTTTAAAACTTCAAAATCAGGTAAAATCAAACCAAGATTCTAGTGAATCTTGTCATCTTCAGTGTAGATGCCTATACTCTCAGACTTGATACTATCAATCGTAACAGATTCAAATAAAATCCATTAGTACAAAATAGCAATCCAACAAACCAGATTCAACTAAGATTGGTCATGATAAAACAGTGTAAGTTATACAGGGCTTCAGATTAAGTTAATAGGAAATTAAGGATGATTAACATACTATATCCTGATATTTTAGGGATAGTTGTCTTTGCCCTCAAATCTAGTACAAGTAGACAAACTGGAACAAAATATAATCTATCTAAACAGAGTGGTGTTGAATAATGTGGGATTTAAGTTCTGATACACTATTAACAATATCCTCTGCCTTTTTTTTTAGACTAGTCCTCCCCTTTCACTCTCACAGGGTGCACTGTGCATTTTGGGTCCCACCAACTCTCTCAGTTTTTAGACTGGGGGCAGCCTGCTATTTACCTAAGTGGTTCCAAACCTTCTTTCTCCTGGATTTTCTCTCAAGTTGCATTCCTTTACCTACAAAGCCTCCAGGTTTTTCTTCACTATAGCTGAATAGTTCTCTGCTGCACATAAGTATCTTGTCTTTCCAACCTATCTGCAAATGCTGGTCGAGATGCCCCTATTTTTCTCTGGTTCCCTGTCACACAGAACATTATTTTCTCATAATTGATTTTCAGTCCATAAACCCCTTTTCAGATTAATTGTATTTCCTATACAGAGCATCATTGTGGATCCTACCTCCTGACCTACTCTGCCTGTGTTTCTTTTTTTAGTGTATCAAGGCCATCTATGTTAGAGCTTATAGACAACCTTCTCTGCCTCATTTCTGCTATGCTATTTTTCTACCATTGATTGTCTACTTTTCTTCTTCATTCCACCACCTGCTCTGTTCATTGATGTTTCTCTGCCATTGTCCCTGAATCCTGGTATTTTTTATCTCTCTAGAATGTCCTTCAGTATTCTCTGTAGGGTTGGATTGGTGGTCCCAAATTCCCCGAGTTCCTCTTTGTCATGGAAGCATCTTGTTTCTCCATTAATTTCTAGAGACAGTTTTTTAGGGTACATCAATCTGGGCTGGAGGTTATTTTCTTTTTTGTTTTTTTGGTCTTTTTCGTTTTTATCGGTACCAGGGATTGAACTCACGACTGCCTGCTTGCAAGGCAGGTGGTTATGCCACTGAGCTAAATCCCCAGTCCCGGAGGTTATTTTCTTTCAGGGCTTGGAATACTTTGCTCCAAGCTCATCTTGATTTGATGGTCTGTGTCAAAAAGTCTGCAGTGATTTTGATGGGTTTTCCTTTACAGGTGATCTGTTGCTTTCCTCTGATAGCTTTTAATATTGTATTCTTATTCTGAATCTCTGGGATCTTGATTATTATATGTCTGGGTGTGGCTCTGTTTTGCTTGTAGGTGGTTGGAGTTCTGTATGCCTCACACATCTGAATATCATGTCCTTTTCCTATGCTTGGGAAGTTTTCCTCAATCATTTCTGTGAAGAGCCTTTGTGTTTCCTTTGTTTTTACCCCTACTTCTTCACTCAGATTTTTTATTCTTAAGTTATAGATCCTCTTGTCATCTTCTAGGCTTTGTGTTGTTGCTGCCTGTTTCCTTGTTGTTTTTTTATTTAAAGAAAAACAGAATAGAAAATGGACAGAAATAGTACATGCTTTTAAAGAAAAGAAATAAACAGTAATAAATCATTAGTTGATATATACATATTGTTCCCCCACAGATAATTGTTCAAGATACAAAAGTGGAACATATAAATGGGAATTCAACCAGGGAGACTGCAAACCATTCTGTTCAACTATCCAACAAAAACTAGGTAATATGAGTATCAATCCTATACATTTAGACATGTATGCATTTATCCATACCTTTGTTTATGCTGAGAGCTAACAAAGGATATTAGATTATAATCCTTCTGAACAAAGATTAATAATATTGCTGGATTTCACATCATAACACTCGGAATCAGCACTGGGTACTGCAGTGCCCCTTTCTTTTCTTCAAAGTATTTGTTCATTTCATCATGTGTCATAAGATCAGTTCTCATAAACTATTTATAGGTTTTATGCAAGCATGAGTCTTAACATGTATTTCTATCCTTTCTATATGGAGGGAGAAACAGAACAAAGCAGGACAGAACTAAACATATTCCTGTAGACATAAAACTAAAAAGACATATAAAACTGCTGTCCAAGGAGTTCTACCATGGTTACTGTGCTGTTTCTTGTTATCATTAACCGAATTGGCTATATCATCAGATAAAGTATAATTGAACTTATCAATACATAACAGAATTAATAGAAATACAACTTTGTAGATAGTGTAGAGCTACAAAAACAGGTAGTAATCAAATCAGAATGGATATCATGGTGAATCATTGTCATTTTCAGTATGGTTGTCTATACTCCTCAACTTGATACCAGTAACCTAACAGTTTTGATTAAAATCTGTCAATAATAAAGTATTCAAACAAGTCAGATTTAACTAAGATCAGTCATGATACAACAGTATAAGTCATACAGGGGTCCTGATTGAGTTAATAGGAAATTAAAAATGACCACTGTGCTATGTCTGGATATCTTCGGGACAGCTGTCTGTACCCTCAGATCTAGTTTTTGTATACAAACTAGGATGGAACAAGTTCCAACCAAGCAGAGTGGTGCGAGTAATAAGGGTTTTAATTCCTGATACACTATTAGCTATATCTTCTGCTGTTTTTTTTTGAAGACTATTCCTTCCCTTTACTCCCCATTATGTACTGTATATTTTCAGGTCTCCCCATCACTCTTGGTTTTATATTGGGGATGGGCAACCTGCTATTTACCTAAGTGTTTCTGTACTTTCTCACTCCTGGCCTGAATTTCTAGTTATATTTCTTCATTTATTAAAGTCTGTCTGTTCAGCCTATCCATAAATACTGGCCCAGTTACCCCTATTACTCTCTGTTTCCCTATCATTTCGAGTTCCATTTTCTCATATTTGATTTTGGTCTATAGAACCTTCTTCAGGCTAATTATATTTCCTATACAGAGTCTCTCGGTGGACCCTACCTCTTGATCCACTCCACCTGCGATTCTCTTTTTTCCCTTAAGTTAGTGTATTTAGGCCATCTATATTAGAAATTATATCCAACCTTCTCTGCCTCATTTCTGTGAGCTCTTTTTCTGTCATTAGCTGTCAGTTTGTCTTTTTCATTTCACTTTCTGCTCCATTCATTGTGGCCTCTCTGCCATTGTTTCTAGAATCCTGGTATTTTTCTCTCTCTTTAGAATGTCCTGCAGTATTCTCTGTAGAGATGGATTGGTGGTTGCGAATTCCCCCAGTTCCTCTTTATCTTGGAAGCACCTTATTTCTCCATTAATTTCTAGGGGCAATTGTGCAGGATATAACAATCTTGGCTGGAGGTTATTGTCTTTCAAGGCTTGGATTATTTCGCCCCATGCTCTTTGACATTTGATGGTTTGTGCCAAGAAGTCTGCTGTAATTCTGATGGATGTTCCCTTGTAAGTGATCTGTTTCTTGTCTCTGACAGCTTTTAATATTCTGTTCTTATATTGGATTTCTGGAATCTTGATTATTATATGCCTGTGTGTAGTTCTGTTTTGATTGTAGGTGGCTGGAGTTCGGTAT